GACATTTAGACCAAGTGTAGATGCGCATAGCTTTAATTAATCTTGTATTCTTGTAGTCAGAGACTTACTGTATCTCTGCGCAGGTCTTTGATTTTTGATGTGTGACATCGCAGCAGAATAACTGTGAGGAACAGGTACAGAACTGCAAACACCGTATGCAGCCATAACAGGTTGTTTCTAGAAGGAAGGAAATTGATAAGACACTAAGATGCACTTTGTCATGACCAAACCACAAAACTGTTTCCTGTTCCAGTACAAACTTTTGTTTATACATTGTATGCTGTAGTTACCCTTTTTGAAGATTGCCAACAGTTGTCCTTCCAAAACTCTCTGGGTCGTAACCTAAAAAACATGAACAGCATTAAAAGAAAACTTAAAGAAATTCAGTCAGAATACAGGCAACCTAACCTTAGATTTCAAAGAAATTGTTTTAATAATCAATTGGTCAAAATCAGCTATTAAAAACAGAACATACTTTAGTGAACAGTCACTGATTGTGAAGTGGACAGTGCAGCTGCTGAGTTTTGATTGCTTGATTCACATTTGAAGCCATCATAAAACACACTAATTACACACCTGACTCATAATCTGAACATAAAACAGCCTCAGAAATATGTAAGCTGTCATTTTAGCTATTAACGGACACTGGTTGCCATCACCATTGTACACCAACCTACCCTGCAGGTCTCCAGTCAGGTTGACAGGCAGTATGATTCCGAGGGAGGTGACAACAATGATCATCAGCAGGGCGATCAGATGACGTTGGAAGGACAGGTAGTGAACAGCATCCATGCCACATCTGGCTTTTATTTTTTCTTTGCTAACACACACACACACATAAATATACACTCACTGATTGGAAGGAATCAACACATGGCTTGTATACACAGCGTGATAAACAATGACCAGCAAACAAACTACACTCACTCCATTCTGAGGATGTAAGGCAGCCAAGAGCAGAATCCCTAAACAGAAAGAGATACATTTCGATTACATTGACATACAAGACTTGAGACTTCAACCACATTAATACAATATCATGTCAAGTCAGCACAATAAAAATCATCTCAGTTTTTTTTTAAATGCGTTTTAAACAGCAGCGCTAATAAGCCAGTTGGTCATGATGTGATACATATAAGGTGATTATTTATCTCACTTACCTCGTTACTTATTCTTTTATGCTTTATGAATACTGATTTTACAGCTGAAACTGATGACAAGATTTTCTTTTACATACCAGTTCATACTCAAGGTCATCCACGCTGGACAGAATTGATGACTTGTGTCCACTCCGACGTTGTGTTGACTCAGTTAACCTGATGGATAAAGTTCAAAGTCAGAGACTAAATCACTGTTCTGGTCAGTATTTATGTATATATGTTACTTGTAGCGCTTGTCTATCATGGTAATAATGAACTCTGAAGTGTGTGAGATCATGAACTGACCCATCGTCTGCAACTAATGCCAGACGTCCATAGTCCCAGAACTTCCGCCTGATAATACTGAAGAGGATCAGCAACACCTGTGGGTGGCATGAGAAATAGAACCAGTCAGCTTTCACGTCATTGTTTGACATGAGTAAAGTTCCTAAAAAAAAAAAAATGATGCAATTTAAGTTAATGCTTAATATTGCATAATGGGAAACACATTCTTGTGCAATTTTTGAAGTGCCACAAAGAAAATACAAAGCACCTACAAGGACAATACAGAAAGAAAACATATCAGTCTTCCAGTCTTCAACACACGCAGGAGGACAGACACGTACCATAAAGACACAGAAATCAAGCAGTAACACAACTGGCACTCCTCCAAATTTGACCCCCTTGAGTACGGTGCTCTGTTTGGAGCTGATGCAGCTACTGTTGTCCAGGATGTTTGGGGAACTGGTGTAATTTCTGTCCAGCAGGGGCCACTGCTCCCACCACAGGGAAGACATCACTGGAGCAGAACCAGCCGTTTGTCTGCAGAGATTGATCACAGTATATTTTGAGAAATGTCCCGGGAAAAATAGTACAGCAGCAAGTAACAATTATTTTCATGACTGGTTAATCTGTCAGTTTATTGTTTAGTTCATAAAATATCTGAAAATATTGAAGAATGTAGGTCACAGTTTCTCAGAGCCCAAGGTGACGTCTTCAAATTGGCGTCCCGTGTACCGAGGCTGAGTCCTTGCTGCAGCAGGCCGGGGTTCGATTCCGACCTGCGGCCCTTTGCTGCCTGTCATCCCCTCTCTCTCTGCCCCCCTTTACTGTCTATCTTCAGCTGTCACTATCATATAAAGGCAATAAAAGCCCCAAAAAATACTAAAAAATAAAAATAGAAAAAGGAGAACCAGAAAGCATTTTTTTTTTGTGGTGATGTCTTTGGTTGCACTGAAAGCCTACCAGCTCTTGTTTCCAGTTTCAGATCTTATGAAAGTAGCAAAATAACAGTTTCTACATACTAACACGCAAGTAAATCTTAAGTAAGGGGATGTTGTGGGATTTGAATGTTGTTCTCATTATGCAGCAGAATGGGCCCTCTCTGGTGTCATAATATTTTATATATATATATATTTTAACATAATATCCTTGGAATATTATTAAAGTAGAGCTGTAAGTATATCAATTAAATCATGTGTTCAAATAAAAAAAAAGTGTAGTGATGCATTTATTGATCAAACAGTTTGAAATAAACAAGAAACAGTAACTCTAATGAAGAATAAGGAAAAGAATAATGAAAACTGACTGTGGAAAAACAACTTTACTCAGATATAATTGTCGGAAACAACTGGCAGAACTTCCATGGCAGACCAGAGAGAGTCAATGTGATCGTGGGCTCACTGAAACACAGTTATTAAACTACAGTTACTATGTAAAATGAAAAGAAACTTGAATGGTTGCTGAAAGTGCGAGACGTAGGGACAGTTGCAGGACAGTGAGGAGTAACTTCATTTCAAGCCCTGGTTGTGGAAAAAACAAGACATCTGGGGACGTCACCTTTTCACATTTCATGGACCAAACAACTAATCCATTAATCGAGAAAATGCTTCACAGTTAAAACCGCTAGTGAAAGTTGTATTGTTAGTTGCAGCTCTACTTTACAGCCGTATTGCTGGTGAAGCTAAAGCTAGTAATATCTACTTTATATATTGCTGGGTACTACTAAACTGACCGCCTGAATTTGTATGAAGAATAGAAACTATGTAGATATGTATAAAGTTCATATCTACATCTGAATTGTTCAAAAGAAGTTCAAAGTAACATTAAATGGAAACAAAGTGCCTGAGAAGTACAGTACTTGAGTTACCACTTCTTGATTATTTGACTATATTTAGAAAGACAAGTGTAGCATCATAATTACAACAGTGGGTTTTAATTTGTCTAACATTAAAAGGCTGTCAGTGACTGTGTGGTTGCACTGCTTCAGTCCATGTCCAATCCCAAATCTTCACAGGTCATTAACAAGGCCCTCGAGCCCCCACCGTCCCTAAAATAGATGGAGCACGCACCCAGAGTCACGCGGACGCAGTTATAAAGTGATGGAGTTAAAAGTTTATAACATGGCCGCTGACTTTTGTCTGTAAAACCTGATGGCGAGATAACAACACTTGTAAAGTCTGTTTGACTGCAGATACTTCTCTCTCCTCCTCGTCCTGACAGCTGTTTGATATTGTCACTCTCCTGACTGAACCCACTGTGTGTTGGTTAGTGTAGAGAACTTCTAGACTCACCGAGCTTTAAGGTAAACAAACGCCTGCTGTGTCGATGTGTTTGGACGGGCTGGTTAAAGCTACAGTGTACACAAGTTATAGGAAAAGTTTGCTACGTTAATGCTAATGAGGCAATGTTAAGATAAAGTTTCCCAACGGGCTACGCCAACATCCGGTAACATAACTTAATTTACATGTCTGAAAATAGCACAAGCATCTTGTTTCCAGGTAACCTGCATCGGTATGCGGCATTAAGCCGGTCCTACCTGCGTTTCTGTCTGTTAGCTCAGCGAGAAGGAACCGTCTTTATAAAGTAGACACTCTCCGCTGCGTCCCTTCCCCTTTATGTTCCGCGTATGCGCAGAAGCTGCAGTACCGCTGTCTCGTGCTCCAAAACATCCGCGAGCCTGTACAGTGACACGCGGCAGAGACCTCCCTCTGCTAACACACCGAGAGGAGGAGCAGTGAAGTATAATTTACTAAAGCACAACATTAATAACCCACTACGACTGGAAAATGTGTTTACTTTATCAAAATAACTTTATTTATCCGGCAGGAACTTCTGTACACAACAACAGAGCCGGACAGACGACAAACAAAGAGTAAACAAGTGTATTATTATTATTATTTTTTTAAATGCCAGTTTTAAAATCTTCTTATTTGAAACTTGAAAATGCCACCACTAGGGTCTTAGTGCACTACACACCTCTAGTTATAGTTTTATTGAGAGGTACAAAGATAAAATGTAATTCAAGTGACTGACTCAAGGATTAGCTCCAAGTCATTTCATCAGTTTTGGAAATGTAAAACTCATTAAGCTGTCAGTAAAATGTCAGTTTGGACTAATAATAGGCTATAATAGTTTTGATTGCTTGTGTTTTGTTGGGAACAGAGACAAGGAAGTAGGTTATTCAACAGAACCTATCCATAAACAATTGGTCACAGAGCAGGCTCCTTTACTCAGGATAATACCTTCCTGTATTTTCTTGCCAAGGTATTATATAATACTGCTGCCGACAAGCATGGGTCCACTAAACTGTCACTAAAATGATCTTTTCACAAAGTGAACAGGATTTCACATCACTGAACTACAGCAACATGACCAATTAATAAATTAAAAAAAACATGTTGCATATATACATTATGTCAAACCTTCTGCTAAATCATGACCCTGTGGTCACTAGTGATAGGAACAGGAAGAAAACCGACATTATTTACATTCCACACATATGACGTCTTAGTGACACCTCTTGGGAAAGGTAAGTAGCATCAAGTATCAAGTTGATCTACACTCGGCCTTCTACTGCCACACTGACGGGACGCACACAACTGAAATCTGAGAGCAGATTTTGGAAATCAGAGCCACTTTGAAGCAGATTTGTACTGATATAACAGAAGAAGATGAAACGTTTTTTTACTTTCTACATCTTTTCCTTGGTTTTACTAGACCAGTTCTTTGGTGCCACAGGTTTTGGTGATGCCACAGCTCCAGGTGACATTATCATTGGAGGATTGTTCCCAATACATGAAAGTGTTAAAGAGGTCAACGGTACATGGATCTGTGACAGGTATGTGTGTTTTATTTTTACCTTGCTGTGTGTATGTTGTTAAGAGGCACACTGAGCAGTAACCATGTGAATGTGTTAAAGTAGGGTGCATGTGTATATAATTGTGTGTCTGTGTGACACAGGTTCAGCACAGCTCGGCTGGTCCAGTCTCTGATAATGGTGCATGCAGTGGAGGAGGTAAATAAGAGGCAGGTGTTGGGGAACCTAACCCTTGGATATCGTATAGTGGACTCCTGCTCTGACGTTACCACTTCCCTGAAAAAGGCCCTTTCCTTCATGAGGAAAAACAGTGAGTACTCTCAGGACTGTCACCCATCAATAACTGTAGTGTAAAAATCTTTTTTGCTGTGCTCAATTCTTACCTTAAACACAAGAGTTGGCTTGTAAAAGTATTTTATGCTCACCCTTTTTCCTTGTTTCCTTCAATTGTATCACAAAACAATTATTTTTTCTCAAATTGCCTTACCTTCTGCTGCTCCTGGGATCATAAGTATAATATAGCTAACATTCATTGTGTTAATAAACACAAAAATAAAAATATATATTCTCAAAATGTTTCTGTAACATGCATTGTAATGATCCTGGTCATTACAAAGCAGATCACAGATACTGTGCTGTCACTCTTTGGTAAATGTATGTATCAAAGTTAATTATACTCCGTCCTCAAAAACACACTGAAGTAACATTTGAGTTTTTCAGTATCTGTCTTATTGTTATAAACCTTCTAAAAGAAAAATATTTAAGTTTATTTTAAGGATGTGCATTTGTTACACAAAGTCTGACTTTTTCTGCCAGTGTAGACTTTGTCTTGTTGGTTATTTTTGACTAGGGGATGGGGATCATTCAGTTTTTATTTGATATTGTTACTTTTTGAGACTGGCTACTGATCGTCTTTATCGTACACTATCGATACTTTTCTATTCTTTTGGTAGGAAAGCGAGCCAAAATAACAGAACTGGAATTGCTTTTATCTGCTTAATTACAGTTGGCAGGCAAATGAATTCAAAAACTTTATTAGACAATCGATGTATCTTTGTGCATCAGTGATATGATTTAAATGACTCTCGTCTATCAACTAGGGCGAAAGCTATCGATTAGTTAAGTAATCGAATATTCTATAGATTATTCAATAGTAGAAATAGATCAATAGTAATACAATAGAGAAAATAAGACATGTCTTTTACATTTGTTACAGAGTTTCCTAGAGGATTTCTTTCGGCAGTGGAGTAAAGGCTTCTGTTTGCACAATTTGGAACAGAGTCCTTATAGAACTGGGTCTTGATCCCCATCCCTAGTTATGACCGCTTTTGAACTACAGGAGCCTGACTGGAAATGGGTTAGCTACAATGTAAAATGGAAGCATGATGGGGATGTCTTAAAGTTGAAAATAATGATATTATTAATAAAGCTATATTTGTATTTAAATATTTGTGCAATGCGCAGTAATGGAAATTATGGAATTATCAGCTATAGATATATATAGTTTAAAAATCCTAAAAATTACAATTTAATATAATATAAAATACAGTAATATAATATAATGTTTATTTTATTATATCATATTACATGTTATCAGATACCAGGTGTGTTGCAGAGCAGCCCTCCCCACCTGTATTGGCTGTCGTCGGTGGTTACCACTCGGAGATATCCATAGCGGTTACGAGGCTACTCAACTTGGAGAACATTCCTCAGGTATGACTGAGCTTAAAGACCTACTTTTGATTTTTATGTAAAGCTGATTTTGGATGACAGATTTTGTATTCATAAACTTCAGAACTCAGATCTAAAATGCAGAACATTCTCATCAGAAAATTTTTAAATGTTTCGACATTTGGAGAAATACAAAAATAGAAATTAGATTTGATTGATCCCACTCTCATGTCTGCACTCTACAAATGAAACATTTACCAGCAGTTGGTAAGCCCAGCTTAGCTTAGCAGAAAGCCTGAAAATAAGGGGAACAAAAACCAATCTTCAGGAAGTGACTTTTCCCAGCCAATAAAATTGTGTAAAACCACAACTTGTAGATTCAACAAATGAGAACTTTTATCTTTGGATATTCTAGTATTTATGCTAAAGTAAGCTCACTAGCCACTTGCACTAGCTCAATATTTACCAAGAGTGGCATCAATATTCTCATCTAATTCTTGGCAGGAAAGCGAATGTACATATTGTCCAAAAATGTCAAACTATTCCATTTAAAGATATCAAGTATATGAATGCAGACAAAATTTGTGATATCAATCTTGTGTGTTTCTCTATTTACTGGACGCTTTGTGATATTCTCACAGATAAGTTACGGTGCAACTTCTGGTTTCCTGAGTGATAAAACACGTTTTCCAAGCTTTATGAGGACCGTACCAGAGGATGATCACCAAGTGCGCGCCATCCTCAATATTCTAAAAAACCACCAGTGGACCTGGGTCGGTATAGTGACAACGGATGGTGACTATGGTCGCTACGCAGTTCAACGCCTCCAGCAGCATGCAAAAGGCACCAACATCTGCTTTGCCTTCACTTCTGTTCTTCCAGATGTTCTAGGTGACAGCCAACTTCAGGACTCCATCAGTGCTACAGTCAAAAGCATTACTGAAAATGAAAATGTCAGCGTCATTGTGTCCTTTGCCAAACCGAACCATATGATGTATCTTTTTAACCATCTTCTCAAAGAGCCTAAAGGCAAGGGGAAAGTTTGGGTGGCCAGTGATAATTGGTCGCAATCACCTAGCATACTGAGTGGGAAGACTTTGAGTGAAGTAGGAACAATCTTTGGGACCACATTGAAATCTGGAAACTCAACCACATTTGAGCAGTATCTCAAGAATGTTGATGTAGATCCTGAACACCACAGGAACAATGCATTCTTGTATCAGTTTCTAAAGAATCAGACACAACAAGGAAAAAGGGCGAAGCCAGGAACTGCCAATGACACAGCCATTGAGACATTAATAAATATGATATATCCATATGCTGTGTTCAGTGTTGAGTTGGCAGTTGAAGCTATTGCTCAGGCTGTTGCAAACCTCTGCATCGAAAGGGACTGTAAGACAAGAGAGAGACTACAGCCCTCTGAGGTGAACACACTCACACACACATATACACATATATATTCATGATGAAACCACTACATTTTAAAGAGGATATAATATATTTGTATATTAATATTGGAGTACATGGCTACTTGTATGTGAATGGGGTCCCTTAAAGCAAATCCATAGAGATTTAACACCTGACTCTGAAGTCCCACAATTTTACTGTTTGGATTCGCTCTCACTGCATTCAGTTTTTTAGCAGCAACAGCCTGTTGTTTTCAGCAAAACGCTCTTAAAAGTCCACTGTACATTACCTTCCCAGCACCACACAACAGACAGAAACCGTTAGCAACTAGCTTGTGAACCAACTGCAGCATTTTGAAGCTAAAGAGCCAAATGTTTCCCTCAGGAGTTGGCGGAGACCAAAAACAGAGCAAAAATGAGAGTGAATATTGGACTTAGATTCATCACATGGCCAGAAACAAATGGATGTAAATGCTTCTCCTTATCTACTGGATGTATAAATAGATCACTGTTTGCTAACAAGTTGACCTTATAAACTTTATCAATGATAAAATTCTGATTTAAGGTATATGATATAAAATGTTTGGTGAAAAATAAAATGAGAATTGTCACAAATTATTTTTCTTTCAGTTACGAGATGCCTTAAGGAAAGGAACGTTCACCATGGATGGGGAAAATTATACATTCAACGAGAACGGTGATCTTAACTCAGGATACGATATCATCTTGTGGAATCAGAAATCAACAACCCTTGTGGATGTGCACAACATTGTAGCTACTTATAGTATTAAAAAAAACCACACATTGACTTTTATCTCACCAGAAAAAGAGCAAGAAGTCTTCAGTGTCACAGTAAGGATTTGTCTTTCTCTCATGAGTTATTTTACTCTTTTATCAATTATTAATCACTCTTATGTGTCTACGTATCTTCATTCTCTACAGTACATGTTAGTGGCGTGACTTTATGAATGGCGCACGCTTAAACATGTTAGTAGCTAACTGATGGATTTTTGCCTTGACATTTTCTATAGGCATTAATACTCCCTAGAAGATTAATTTTATTGACTTTGGTGATCCCTTGACTTTTACTCTAGTGCCACCTTGAGGTTGACATTTTAGATTTGTGAAATGTTTTGACCACTATTGGGTAGATTGCCATGAAATTTGGTACAGACATTTATGTCATCCCTAGGATGAATTGTAATAACTTCAAAATTGTCTAATACTTTTGTGAATGACCAATTACTTGCAAATGTTTGCATGCTAAGTTGCAAAGCTAAGCTAAGCTCAGCATGTTAACACTGCAATTGTGAACATGTTAGCATGCTAATCTTAGTGTTCACCAAAGCTTTGTTCTTCCTATATCTCAAAGGCTGTTGTGTATATTGATGAACTCTACCAAAAACTGCATAATGAGGACACTTTCACTTCTCAGGGAGATGTGATTTCCAGTTGCTCAAATAAATGTGCTCCAGGCACCAGGAAGCAGTCAGCTCAGGGACAGCCTGTTTGCTGCTATGAATGCATACCCTGTCCTGAGAACTACTTTTCCAACACCAGTGGTATGTATCAGACAAAAGTAAACACCAGTAACATTAATTAACTGTATAATACAATAAAAAAAAAAACTCAAGCTATGAGGCCTATCATCTTGTCAACTGTAAGGAATAACGTAAATCCAACTTGAAGATTATAATGAGCATTTGTCCTCTGTTTACAGATTCCATAGATTGTTATCACTGTAACAGGACCCAATACTCCCCCATGGGAAGTAAAACATGTATTCCCAAAGAAATTATTTTCCTGCGATGGAATGATAAGTATCATGACACGCTTCTGGCATTTACCGCTCTAGGTGCACTGCTTACCCTTGTTGTTGGGATCATCTTCATTGCACGCTGGAATACCCCAGTTGTGCGTGCATCTGTGGGCCCCATCTGCATCCTCCTTCTCTTCTCTCTCTTAAGCACATTTGTGAGTGTGATATTATTTGGTGGTAAACCCAAGGACGAGCTGTGCCAAGCACGGCAGGTACTGTTTGGCTTGAGCTTCACCCTGTGTGTCTCCTGTATCATGGTCAAGTCCTTTAAGATCATCTTGGCCTTTGAGTTTGACCCCAGCATTAAAAGAGTCCTGAAGAAGCTCTACAAGCCTTACATCATTATTGCAGTGTGCTTGTCAGGTCAAGTTATCATCTGTGCTCTGTGGCTTACACTCAAGTCTCCAAAAACCAAATGGGACGTATTGGAAAACACAAAGCGTCTGCTCAGTTGCGATGAGAAGTCATATTCTGCATTTGGAGCCATGCTGTGCTATATTGGTGTTTTATGTCTTATCTGCTTTGGTGTTGCTTTCAAAGGCAGAAAGCTGCCTCACAGTTACAACGAGTCAAAGTTCATCACCTTTGCTATGCTGATTTACTTCATCTGTTGGATCATCTTTGGCCCAGTTTATGTCAGTGTCAAAGGCAAGTACCTTCCAGCAGTGGAGATGGTCGTCATCCTCATCTCAGCCTATGGCATCCTGTTTTGTCAGTTTTTTACAAAGTGTTACGTTATTCTGTTCAAGAAGGAAGCAAACACAGAGAGGGCATTCCGCCAGGATGTTAGAAATCATTCCTTGGGTAGTATCTCAGAAATGAACTCATATTCAGTGACCTCTATAGGGATCCAAAATCCTGCTTTTGATGTGGAGTTACCAATGTCAAACTCAATGTCATTTGTTCCACTGACTAATCAAAACCCATCCATGGGCTCTGATCAGTCATCATTGTCTCTTTCTCCAGTCTCCAACCTACAGCTCACTAGGCTGCAGAATGATGACAGGTTCAATAAGAAACATTTAAAGAGATATTCAAGCTTGCCAGCAGTGATTTGCAAGAGCTAAATATGTAATTGAAATGTTTAAAACTGCAGCACAAAATGTAATGCTTCAAATATCAAGGGCTGCCATTAACATTTTCATTATTGATTAATGGGCTTATTTATTGTCTTAAAATGTCTGAAAAATAGTAATGGAAAAATCAGTCCAAAATCCAATTATTTTCACTTTGATGATTTCAAAAAAGCAATCCTTATATTTTAGGACCTGCTCCTCAGAGAATTAATCCCAATGACGATGGGGATCAACCGACTTTTCACCTACCGCCACCAGCAGTTACATTTTCTTTTACTGTAAATGTCTTTACAACTTTTATATGAATTGCTATGAAATGTGCTACAAGCATTCATGTTCCTCTCAGGTCAAATTGTAATAAATTGTAATTGCTAGACTGCCTGTTACTGGCTATGTTAGCCTTATGCACAATCTGCTCCTGTATTTATTTAAATATTTATCTTCAGTTTACATTTTATATTATCCACAGTAATCATTATTCTTGCACTTGTTTTACTTTTTAATCACCTTACATTTGCACTACTTCCTTTACTCTATTATAATGACAGCACTCTGTAGTAGCTCTGCTAGCTACTTACTTTACTTTTACTTTTGTTTTTATTATATTCTTGCGTGTATTGGGGTTTTGTATGTATGGTATAAGCTAGTGGATGCCTATCTATTTTTTCTATTTTATGTATTTTATTCTCCCTTGTATAAAGAAATGTGAGATGTAAGATATGGAACTGTATTTTTACAAAACCTCAATAAACAGAAATGTAAAAAAGAAAAAGTATTTTGTATCTATTTAATCATTTTAGTGATCCATTAACTTTTAATCTAGCGCCACTATGTCATGCCAGAGCTTTAATTTGTCAAACACTTTAGACATGACTAAATACCTGCAAAACTAATGATAATTCTATCAGCCTCAGCTGTACTTTATTTTTGTGCTAAGTAACAAATGTATACCCATATGTATCCACATGGGGAAATGCACTTAATGTAAGTCACTTTGGATAAAAACATCCGTTAGATAGATATATACTTTGTACATATAGGCAGAAAACATTAAAGAGTGCACAGAAGTACAAAACAAATAATACTAATACAAAAATACACACTGTGAGGCATCAATCAGTTGTGGTTATGTGCTTATTTCTAAAACTCTGACACACAGGAGTTCTTAGATAAATGTAATGTAATCATTCAAAAATCAAATGAATAATTAATCGGCCCTTATAGACATTTTGCGATTTTATTTGGTATTTTTAACATACTCACTGATGTTTTAATCTGGAAAATTATTTTGTTCTTCCTGATGTACAAAAATACTTCCTGTAAAGGCCATTGTAACACGAATCAGTATTAAGTAATTGAATTACCCTTTTGAATTATTATGGTTTTCTCTGTCATGTTTTTGTATCTGTTCAAATATATGTGATAGTTGAGAGTATAGAGCATCTTTCTTGGGCCTGATATAATTTCACACAAATCTTAGACAGGGAAGAAGTTGAAAATCTTTAAGATGCTTCCTTGTGCCACCTTGTTATGGCGGAAAGATTAAATGGAAAATTCAGACTGATTATCTGTTACCTATATTTAGTCTCCAAAAGAAGAAGCTCTGGTTTGGCATCTGTCTGTGGCACTACAACTAATAATGACTCATCATATCAGGTGAATAAACAAATAGTTTCCCTTCCTTGTTTTGAAACGTTTAAATTCCTTACGTTTGTGTCACTGTGTTTAGGGGAAGATAAGATAAGATCCGACGTGTTCCTTATGAAAAGAAAAGAAAATCAACTGTTGCATCAGACCTTGATAATTATACATTTCTTGGGCATCTGGAAAGATCACTTCAAGCTAGTCTCATTGTTGATGGGCACCAAACACACCCAAATCCTTCTCCTGTAGCTCTGCAGACATTCCTCTGAATGATCAGTTACACTGACTGTCATAAATAGAAACCAGAGCAGATCAGTGTGTCTTTTCCTCTTTCAACCCACTGAAGAGGAGCTATAATGCACTCTTTGTGACTTCTTCCATCTCATCTGATCAATGCTGTGCTTTACTGAGATTTGAACAAGAATTAGCATAACATCAGACATAGCGGGGAGAATCTGAATTGTTCCACATTTGAGACATCACAGAAGAGGTGTTGTTGTGGTTTGTAGGACAGAGCATTGCTAACCAATGTCACGGGCCCCTATCAGATGTGCCAGTGGTCAAATTAACAAATCCAATGCAATTAGTCATTCAATTTACTGTGAGATTCTGTGGTTGCTCAGAGTATGTCCCCCTCCCTGCCTCACCCTCTCTCTCTTTTCTTCCCTGCTTTTCCATTATGGGATTTTCTGTTTATCTGTTGTGGTCTTGACTGTTCATTTCTACTTCCCATGTCTTGCTGTGTGTATTTGTGTGTGTTTCTTGTCTCTGTGTGAATGTGTACACACAGTGATGTCCGTGTTGTCAGTGTGTACACACATCAATCTACCTGTGGTGGTGTGTGTGTGTGTGTGTGTGTGTGTGGTGACTGTTCATGCCTCACTGTGGGACGCGTTGATTAGCGCTCACTGCGGCTCAGCTCCCAGCTGTCCTTGCGGCTGGCTGCTGATTGAAACCAATCAGGCTTGCGATGGCCCCATCGCGGTGACCCCTCACCCCTCCCACCCCCGGCCTAATCACCTGCTGATTGGCCCACGCAGGGCCCCCTCCCGTTGGCACGGAAGGTTAATTTGACCAGTGGATGAAGGCTCCAGGAGGGAATAGGAACGTGCGCTGGGTGATATTGCATGGATATAGCCCACCTGTCAATCACAGCCACTTAAAGGGGAGCAGCAAGGGAAACACTGTGACAACCAGGGAGGAAGAGAGAGAGGGAAAGGTAGAGGAAAGAAAATAATAAGGAATGGTGTTGTTGGTCTTTTTATCAGCAGTTTACTTTTGGAAGCAGCTTTATTTTTTCTAATTTAAAGATCCTCACTCAAGGTCAACTTACTATCTTTTTCCGGAGCGTCTTGTGGTCTTCCTTTGAACAAATATACTGTATATATACATTATGGGCGTAGTTTGAAATAACAGTAACAGACAAACAAGACAACAAGATGTGGTTGAAAGCTATATGGTTTGTTCTGTCGACAATCTGTTGATTCCTTTTGTATTTCCTTGCCCTTACTTTACTCCTCTTTTTACCCAAATGATGACTTAAATCATCTCTACCTTTTGATATATATTTAAAAAGGGTGGTTAAAAAATTCTATTGTAATTCAGTAGATTTGAAAAGGATACAGGCACCATACAACTATAATATCATTCACAAAAAACTACAATATATTATTGCATAATGTATGTTTTTTATTAGCTATATAGACATACGTATGGATAAACTCACAAGATCTGAAGTTACTGAAACACTTCCATTTAACTACTATCCAAGTTACAATTATTCCACAGTTTCTCTACAATCAGTATATTGCAAATACTGTACATTATAGACGCTGTAGTGTACAGGTTTATCCAGAGGGTGGCAGTGTTGTATTCAATGTAAAAGGTTGCAGCCTGTGTAATAAAAGGTCTATTAATAGTCCACTTTTTACAATATATGTATATCCTATATACTTTATATATTGCCTATTTATAAATATAAGTAAAGTAATAAATATAAGTGTAAAGGTTTAGGTTCACAAAATGGTTGACGCAAGTCCTCTAACCAGTCTTCTTCCAGCGATTATCTTGTGACAGTTCATCAGTGGATGGAGTTTGCTCAGTTGTCGTTAGCAATGATTCGGATGAAAAGCTCAAATATATCCATATAGTTGACACAGAGTTAAAAGAAAAATTCTGTTAAACTCTTAATATGTAGAAATATTCTTCTGCAGCACAGCACTGATTTTCATTCGTAAGTTTAGTGAAATGGTAGACAAAAAGTGCAGTATATTACAATTTATAGCAAAATAAAATGTGTGTGATCATCCAAAGATACTTCTCACCATCAACATTTTGACAATGACACACCCCATCCCCCACACTTGTCTAACTCTCTGCTTAGCCATGTCAGTCCATAGATTTCACCTTATCCCTGTGCAGTGGTAAGTGTGTGTGTGTGTGTGTGTGTGTGCGTGTGTGCAGTTTGTGGCAGGTTCTTCTCCCTCCTAGTCTCTGGTGGGCAGAATAATGTTGCCAGATTACCATATCATTACCATATCATTTCCATGTCATTATCATACTTCTGCCCACGATGTGTGTCTGTGTGTGTGCATGCATGTATGCGTGTGTCTGAACTTTGCATCAGATCTTCAACTGTTTCCCTTTGTGTTGCTCACAAACACACACACACACACACACAATCCCCCTTAGGAATACACACATCCCTCTGACATGCTCCCTCTGTTTTTCACTGTCATAGACTCTATCTCTCTATCTCTGTCCCACACCCATGTAAGCACATCATAATTCTCAATAATCTGCCATTCATGATCCTCGTTTGCTTATTTGTTTGTGTTAATCTAAATGCCAATTAAAGTTAACCTTTAAGAGGGATGGCAACAATAGCTAACGCTTAATTTAGAGAAAGAGATGGACCTGATAAATTGACAGAAAATAAATCAAAAACTATTTTAGGCATAAACTGGAAGTCAATCAGGCACTCTTAAATATGGCCTAAGAAAAAATAACAGTGAGGAAGGAAGTATTTAAAGTCTTTATTGTAGTTACTAAATCCTTAAAACAACCCAACATGTTTTGACTATTGTAGATTCTCTTCAGGGCTTGCCTGTATTACCTTCCAGGTAATCCTGTTTTTTCCCCATTCCCCCCTCATCATCATTTAAATCAATTTGTTTCAATAATAAACAAAAAAAATATTTGCTGGTTTTCCTTAAAGCAAATATCTCAGAATTTTGAACTGATTGTCAACTTTTGAGAAGAAGAATTGTGATTGTGGGTGGGATTTCTCACTTTGTTGAATTGAGGAAATCATTGGCAAATAGATAGATAACGACATAAATGGTTAGTTGCAGTTATTACAGACTGCATTAAAATCTGAGACTAGATTCCACTTTTAAATTGTGTTAACTTGATTTTAATGATTTAATCCATACGAATAAATTGGTTCTGCATTTAATGAATCTGTAATTTATTGTGTTTTCCTGGTAATCAATCACATCTTTACTTATTGTGCCTATCTGTCTCCAGATTGGAGCAAATGTAAGATTCAACTCCAGCAGACACCATGCACCCCCTTCCCTCAAAGTCATCCATTCTGGGGGTGTTGGAGCGCTGAGCTTTACTACTAACACATTTTGGATAAATGACAACCTAACATCTTTAGTACACAGTCAGAAATGCGGCAGTAATGAAGAACAGAACGCCCTCCCCTGTAATACAGTCAGCCAGCCATTCTGGCTCCAATTCTCACCCCACAAAGTCAGCCATTTTGGGGTCTGCAGCTGCCAGAAAGAGCCCATTTAGTGAGGGGAGCATGTTTGGGGTCGTGCCCTTGTTTACATGGGGAGCCAGAGCTGATGGTTTTAAAATGGCGTCCAGATGGTGACAGAGGCTTGATTGCGGCAGAGGGGGCTTCTGCGTCCCGCCCACTCCTGCTGTCCAGCTACTTTAGCTAAAGCTGCATCTCTCTATCTGCTCCTTCTACCTCTATCATCAAGCTACCACTCCTGTTTTATCACTCCCCCCTCTGTCCAACACTGCACAGAGCCATTATTGCGTGTTTCCTCTGTGGATGTGCCTTTTATATTACACTGTGTTATCTCTACGGTCAT